TTCTTCTACTAGTTGGAGTTTAGTCCACTTCTCTATCCTTCATTCAAAGCTCACTGCTCCAGGATTATCTTCTGTATATGTGTTAATTGGTTCCTTTTTTCTTTGTTGAAGATGGCCTGTGTAGTTTGTCTGCCTATTCTGCCATCTTACTTCTGATGTCTGATTTCCTGAACACTATTTCCATGGGTGTTGATTGTGGATTCAAGTTGAAATATTTATTGAGAAGATTTATTTACTTTCTTGGAGGTTAAACCAAAACAAACAAACAAACAAACAAAAAACCCAAAACCATTGAGTTGATTCTGACTCATAACAACCCCTGTTGGGTTTCTATAGTGGTAGTTGTTCACAGAAGTAGACTGCCCAGTCTTGCTTCCATGGAGAGGCTGGTAGGTTTGAACTGCCAACCTTCTGGTTAGTATTCAGATGCCTTAGTCACTGTACTACCAGAACTCCTTAAAACTCTACTGGATATCATCAAATTCCAAGGGATTTCAATTTACATTCTACCTGCAGGTTGTGATTTAGCATTTACTAGTATCCATTTCAAAAGGTAGGGGATTCAAACCCACTCCAGCAATCTACTTCCATAAAGATTTACTGCCTCAGAAAATCCAAAGTGGATCACTATAAGTCAGAATTGATTTGATAGCAGTGAATTGTTTTTTTGGTTTTTATTATCCATTTCAGTTCAGCTCTGGTGGTGTAGTGCCTAAGACATTTGACTGTTAATCAGAAGTTGACAGTTCAAATCCACCAGCTACTCTGTGGAAGAAAGGAGCACAATTTACTTCCCTAAGGATTTCCCACCTTTGAAACTCATGGGCGTTGCTATGAGTCAGAACTGAGTCAGTGGCTGTGGGTATTTTCATTTTTTTGGTATTATCCATTTCAAAACAGTTCTGCCAATCCATAGCCTTGGCGTGAAATCTCACTATGTTTTAAATTTGAATTTCCTTCAACCTTAGCATTTTAAAATTATTGATATTACTATGATTGCTTACTTATTATTAATCCTATCTCTATTATAATGTCTTTTTATTATTGATTTAACATCAATTATATTCTGGGTCCTTTTTCTGGATGTCTTTTCACCATGTTTATGGCATCTTTTAGAAACATTCATTCTTTGTGTCTTTCTATAGAATGTTTATTAATACAAGCACATATTAATTTTTGAATAAAAAGTTATATAATAAAAAATAAAAATAAATGAAGTTAACTTTAAAGTATCTGCCATTGCTTTAATATCGAATTGAGATTTAACTTAGAAATACAAAGCCAATTCAGAATTTTACAGACACATCCCACTGAGAGAATCACTTAGCCTAGGACTAAGATAAGCTTTCATCCTAATGTACTACTATATCTGGAATATATTAAAACTATGTAATTATCCCTTCCCTTTTAAAATCTTTATTTTATTTTAGACATTAATTTTACATCTTAGCTTACAAATAGTAATAAAAATAATTGCAATAAGTAAATAAAGCAATGTAACAAAGGATATACAATAAATCTTCAAAATACAAAATGTATAGGAACAATAACCTGTTAATTCTAGGAACTAGTATAACTGTTCCCTTCAATGGAGTGATTACTGCTGAAAAATCTCCACTCTGTGTGTGCCTGGACCAAATGAGCCTGATGTGTTTGCTGGGCTTCCTCCCTTTTCCTCTCTAACTTCCTGCTGCTACAACTATTTGTGTCCTCCTTACCACAAATACCTACAGTGATAGTAGGGCTACAGTACTATGAGTATCTTTAGTCCACAATATGTCATCAGGTGTGCAGTCATCAAAAGAGGCTCATTATGTGGCTGTTTGATCAAAAATTCATTTTTTGGCTTCATGGTCTTCTCCTGACCCCAGCTAGCAAACAAAACCATGCTATCCTTTCCAGTTCCCAATTCCCAACTCTCTATCTCAGATGATCATGTTCAATGCAGCTGCTATACAACTTAGACTTGTCCTGATTCCGAGTCTCAGAAACATAATCAGAAAGATATAGGGAGAGGGTAACGACAGGGAGGAAGTGGGAAGAGATTTATTACATAGTGTAATCAGTGTCGTCAAAAAAAATGTGTATGGACTATTGAACGTAAAATGAATCTGCTTTGTGAAATTTCACCCAGATCAAAAG